TGTTTGCTACTTGCTACGGAGTATAAATCAATTAACCGAACTTTAACGCTATTTTGCATGCGATTTTCGATGAAATCCTAAACTAAGTAACGATTATTTTTGTAGAATATCTATAACGCAAATACACTCAGCTTCTTCTTACCTAATTATCATAAGATTATTAGTTAAAAACTTATCAATTTTATATTTAACTAGCTGTCGCCCGCTACTCCGTCCGCGTGGATATATAAAAAACTTAATTAGTGTAGCCCACCCATCCATCCATCCAAATCACATCCATCTAAACATTCGCATTTATAATATTAGCAAGTTAAATAAAAAGCAGCTCTTCAAGGCATAAATTCGAAAAAAGAAATTAATAAATAGTATCCTATGTCCGTTTCCTTGCTTTAAGCTACCTCCTCACCAATTTTCAGCTATATCGGTAAAGCCATTCTTGAGTTATAAATAGTGTAACTAACACGCCTTTATATATAGATTATTGTTAGAATGCTCCATTTCTAAATCTCTTTTATTATATGTATTCTTTTAACTTGAAAGTTTCACTTATGTCACAATTAAGCGCAATATTGTTTAACTACTTTCATACATTTCAAGGTTTTTTCTTAGTAAAAAATCAATAGCGAAGACATTTTCCAAATGACAAATTTAACGGCGTAAAGCCGAGTGCAAATTCATTTTTCGTACGGAACAATCAATCGTGAGGCCCCGTGACTCCCACCTAGCTATTTTACTCTCTTCTATTTTATCTGTTCCGTAGGTGTTTCTGAAGATTACGGAATGGCGTACATAAATTAACTCTCCGTAGTCATACGTTGAAAGATAATTTCGTATTCGTTTATAATATTAGCTACGGTAAATTATAACGTTTTACTTTGACACAGTTGTACTTGTTTACGCATTTACAAGTAAGCAATCAAAGTCAACGACAGTTTTGTGACATATGAATTTTGACGTTTAAGATTGAGGTTATGTTTATTAATCGAATCGAAAGGTTATTCTATTTATTATTATGCAGTAAAACATACTGTTTTGTCACCATGGCCATGATGCGTTTTCGACTTACATCTCTTAGCAAAATGGCTTCAACCGCCTCTTATTCAACCAAACGAACGATGGCATATAAAAGTGCGATTTCGTTGGTAACTTTATATCTAAATACTTCATAGTAGCTGTGCCCGCGACTTCGTTTACGTGGTTGTCGGAAACACTATCGAGATTATTTTTTGGTTACAGTTTTCTTCGCTCTTATTAGTCGCAGCGTAATATAATATAGCCTAAAGTCTTCCCCTATAAATGGACTATTCAACAAAAAAAGAATTTTTCAAATCGGACTAGTAGTTCCTGACATTAACGCGTTTAAACAAAGAAACTCCTCCGCTTTATAGATACTACTATAGATTTGTGTTATTGAGAATATTGACAGCAATGTATGTAATTCAGTGAGTATTCAAAATTTATTTATGCTATGAAATTCCACTGTCATGATACTTGTATTAAAACATGTCGTTGTCTCACTTCAATGAGAATGAAAGGGATGGAATTACGTTTTTATACAAGCTTTTTGACAGCGAAATCAAACGCTATTGTTTTTCATAATATGTAGATTATTTTTGGAGGTTGTATCAGCTCTTTATTACTTCTTATAAACAAAACATTTTAAAGCGTGGAAGTCTATTATCTATTATTATAATTTTCGAAATCAAAATGTTATATTTGCATAAAATAACTTGCAATATGATTTATATTGGAGACCTTTTATTTAGAGACAAGACAACAATTACTTGATCCACGGCCGTTAGACTACTAAATATCGACAGTCGAAATTTGTAACCAATCGTATATTATTAATATGATTTATTACTTCAAATAATCACATCGATCTAGCTTCAAGCAAAGCGTGGATTTATTAATCGGTGCCAAAGTACCACTGTCACATTCCGATTAAAGTGGTGACGAGGTGGTCGCGAAGGATTTTCGTAGGGTGACAATGTTTTTATAACAATAAAAAGTTTTTAAATATTTTAATACTAGCTATTTATATTTATACAGCTAAATGTTACATATTTTATTTCTTAACGTAATTGAGAAGACATATGTTAAAAATATTTTAAGTCACCTTGCTACCTAGTTGTTATTCTTGAAATTGGAAGCCAATATATGTACGCGTTACCTATTACCTTAATGGCCTAGATTCTTGGATTGTCCCTAGGATTCATGATTAGTTGGACACCTCGATTATCCCTGGAACTCCGTATACGGTGGTGACCTAAGCCGGGCTTGCCGAAGGCAATGCGTGGGTTCAGTGAATGTTGGCGCCGTCGTCCATCTTGAGGTATTACATTAACCCAAATATTCAACCGATTGACAGAATCATTGCAGACACCTTCGTTATGACGTGATAATAAATGTTTATACAGGATTCTTGTGAAGCAAGATTATGATTCATTTTTTGTATATGTCACTTTAAATATGAAAAGCACTCCAGTTACCGAGTTTTGGAGATTGTGAATTTATTTTTTTAACTGGAATGCTTCAAAGTCCCTGACTTATTATGAACGTAGTTTAATATATAAACCCTTTTCTTGTTGCAATTGTTTCTGGATATGGAATTCGAATTTTAAATTTCAAAGCATTTAAGCCCAATGAAACTTGTACTTATGTTCATGTTGCTTGTCCAAAAATCGAATTTACAAAAGATCTAGAGTGAAAATTATTTGCGGTAGTTAATGTACAATAAAAATAATTTTAGTGTCGGTACAGATCAAAGCTCGATTCGGATTACAAAACTTTAAGCGTAGGCGGTTGACAATTTGTAACGAATTATTAAAAGGTTTCTAATTTTGACAGGTCACGTTTCACGTCTATTTTTAAATTAAAAGTTTATTATAAAGTTTAATAAGTTTAAATAAAATATTACTTGTAATAAACTAAAAAAAACATATTACGTTATATCTTACAAATGATTGTATTACTCGTGCTTAAAGTTAACTTAATCTAAAGAATTTAAGTAACATCCGCATTAAAATTTAAATACCAAAATAAAGAATGTTATTATATCCGTTACTTGCAATTAACTAGTCTGTTTAATTGGCGTCTTCAAGCTTACTTAGGAGATTAGATTAACACGTGGGATGTTAACGAGCAATAATGTTCAATGAACGCATCCGGAATATAATATTACTTTTGTACTAGACTAGCGGCCGCCCGCTACTTCGTCCGCATTGAATTAAAAAAAAAAATAATAATAAGTATTAGTAGTAGCCTATGTGTCTAGACTATGATCTACATCTGTGTTAAATTTCATCAAGATCCGGTCAGCCATTGTGTAGATACCTTCAAATAAACATCCATCCATCGTAAGAAGTAAGATTTAGACTGATCACGTGGCTATTAGGTAACTTCAATTGCTTGTATAACTAATTAAGAGGGAATTACGCGCTACGTTGTACGCACTGGACGGTCTGTTGGGAAAGTACTACAAACATAAGAAATTTATAGTTTTTACTAGCTGGTGCTCGCGATTCCGTTCGCGCGGAATTAAAAAAAACATTTCATTAGCTATGTGTTTTTTTAAGCAATGTTCTACATCTATGCTAAATTTCAGCGAGATCCATGCAGCCGTTCTGGAGATACCTTCAAACAAACATTCATCCATCTAAACATTCGCATTTATATTATTAATTTTTATTTATACCTATTTGTTTGGTTTTTGTCACCAGGAGAGTAGATAAATAATTCACTATTTTAATCAGGACCGAGAACATGAAGTTTGCTTGGTGAAATTGCTTTTGAATTTGATTCAAACCTTGTTAGTGCTAATTGAGGTCGCCGGGAGCACAAGATGCATTTTGCATTTCATACGACAAAGTAAATTCCGACGGTAAATTTCTCTAATATATATTTATAAATTATAGAAATATGAAGGACATTTTCGAAATAAAATAAACTGTTGAATTTCAATTAAAACAGTCGATTGTGGCTTTTTTAAATGATGTAATAACGATATTCACTTACTCTACTTATTCTCAATTTTTTAATATAACTATTGTAAAAATATGAGTAATGTCATAGCATTATCTCTGGCAAAAAAAATATTAAATTTAACGCCAACTTAAAGTTGGCAAAAAGTACATCGATAATAAATAACAAAAAAAAATATTGGCACATTTGAGGTTTGTATAAGCGTGTTGAAAATATTATATGCAATAATTAAAAACACAAACACGAAGGTTTGATATACGATCCCATTGTACAAGTTTAATTGGAAAATAAGGTCAGCATGAATCCGCCGCGAAGCTACGAACAATCAATTGTTTCTGCCCACATACCACATCAGTCTGAATGATAATTGACCTGTAAATTAGATATGCAAACCTCTTGACAGCTTTATAACCATCCAGTGCGAACGGGGTTGCTTCTTTGAATCGTGAGCCGCTTGGGCGATGTATTCAACTACGCGCAGACATTGAGTTGCTTAGGTTATCGCTTCATTTCGCCTTTTGTTTTATTGCGTTAATATTTGTATATGTATTATATATAATATATATGTATGTGTATATGTATGTATGTGTTTCTGGATTGTATATAGTTTAACTCGACTTAATTGATTTTTTGATAATCAAAACAAGAACGATAGTTTCCCCATAGTGATTTAATTACGTAAAGCTAAACAGTATTGTTACCCCATGCTAAGTATTTGTTATATATTACAATAGATCCTTAATTAAATTTACGGTTTCGTTAACATTGTGTATAGAATTAATTACTATTATTGTGTTTGTACTAGGTCAATACAGATAGAGTTAAATTGTTACCAGATATATAATGAAAGCGCAAAACAAACGAGTAATTATTTTTGTAAAGAAATCAGAACTGCCAGATTACCAGTTGTATTACAATTTTATGATTGAAAACAACGCCATCTATTGAAAACTTTATTGTACTAAACTAAGTTTTTTTTAATTGATTGCTGTATGAAATTATGCCTTTCTTCACAGATCGGCAGGATGTCAAGCGGGGGTTGCTCCGGGCCGGGGGTGTGCGGGGGAGCGCGGCGCCGGCCCCCGCCTCCGCCGGAGCCCGCGCTCTCCCTCGCCGCGGACCTCAGCGAGCTGAGTCTGGACCAGGGCTACCATACGCTGGCGGACTGCGGCCCGCCCAGGCGGAGAAGAGATAACACGCTCAGTGATGCACTCTGGTTGAGGATACTGTCGTATTTAGATGTAAGTTAAAAGATACAATTCTATCCTCGAGTTTCTAAATTCAAAACCCCGTATAAAATGTCGTCATCTTTGTCATTATTTTTGACAAAACAGAGATAACGATATGTTATAAACGGAGATTTTGGCCTCTAACGACAGATTAGAAATATGTCAGAGGTTTAAAACAATCTTATATCTTTGTTATAAACGAATTTGTTTCGCAATAATTTGGTATTGGTAATTGGGAATATCTCAAGGTTTCCATTCGTTCTGGGTTTGATGTTCCATCAGATAGCATCGCTGCGAACTCTACACTTTACGATGCATAGCATCGAGATTGTGACATTTATGTTGAAATACTATAGTACCGCGTTAAAAGCTTCATTTCAAATCTACCCGCTTTTAACTGTTGTTTATCTAACTATAACTAGCATGTTGAGTACCATTATTTTTATTAACAAATGACGTTAGAGTTATATAGTTATAATAGTTATAATATTTTTCAATTTTTTATATTATTCCAATAGAGATATTTGCAGTATATAAAACTAAAATTTTCAATCAATTAGATATCAGAGCTATGCCGCATGTCACGCGTGTGTCGCCGCTGGGCCCGGTTCGCGGCAAGGCTGGCGGCGCAACCGGAGCCATGGCGACGGGTGCGCGCAGCCGGCGCCCTGGAGCTGGCAGCGCGCTGCGCCGGCGCACGCGCTGGTCCCTGCGTCACCGCTGTAAGGGAGTGGCGGATAAAGAATTGTATGGTACGTTTACACAGAAGTTTTGTTAGTTATAAACTAGAGTTCGTTATAAAAAAAAGACGATAACACCACTACAAAATTGGTTCTTTGTTTTTGAAACCGAGCGAGACTACAACTTTGTTTTTGATAAATTATTCTGTCCGCACTGTTTTATGAACATATAAAATAATTTGTTACTTTTTTATGTAGTTTGTTATATGTAATATAACACTTTTATATCAAATTTAAGACTGATTTTGAAGCTTACACAATACATTATTTTTACACCTAAAACAAACCAAATTACTTTCTAAATTTAATTGCTTTATTTATCACAGTTTTATAACTTTCGTTTATATAGATATACGTAATTTTAATAAAGTTATCAATCACAAACCTGTTGATAGCGCCACGCCTAAAATGTGCCAATTACCGGATACGTTCATTAAATGGCGCCTCTATAGAAAATGCCTTTCAATTAAAACTTTTTAAAGTACCAATAAATATGTATATACACGTAACACATGCAGAAATGTAAACCTTGTAAGTAAAAACGTTTATGTAATTATCGAAAGTAACATTCACTACATACGAATTATAGACTATCATTATTCCTGTTCTATCGAGATTATTCCATATCTAATCGAGTAACAAATTCCTCTGGTATTGCTGATGTCCATGGGCGTCGTTGAACACTTCGGTGTTCCCGCTCGTCATTTGCCCCTTCTGTTATAAAAAAAAAAAGAAGAAGTATTTACTCAAAACTCTTAGATTTATGATACTGTCTACTTACTCTACGGTTTATGTTAATGTAAGAAAGAAAAAAGATTTTTTTTTATAATATAGATTAAACCAGAAACAATAACTAATATAAAAATTGCACATAACTGATAAATTAAATTAAACTTAAGTTACCATTTATGCTTAATTGGTTTCACGAAAGTTTAAATAATTTAATAACTATATACTCTATTTCAAAGGAATATCCAGATCCAGAATTCTATATAAAATAGAATAAAAAGTAACAATTCTAAACATATTCCACTTGACCTTATCGTCAAAGAATTTTAACAAGACAAAGTAAATATTTTCCAATGTTTCAGAAAATATTTCCTTTGTTTAGAATAACGGTTTCAAAGTCACGTTGTGTTCGCGAAGAGCTCAGTTGAAGGAAATGACGCTAATAGGCTAGAATAGTATATTCACTCGTCCTGACGTCGCGACTTGCGTGATATACTTACACTACTATTATGTTACTTCTTACTAATATTATAAATGCGAATGTTTATATGGATGAATATTTGTTTGATCGGAACATGGATCTCGCTGAAATTTGTAATAGATGTGGAACATACCCTGGAAGAATACATCGTCTACCAATTAAGTTTTTATTAAAATCCGCGTGGAGGGAGTCGCGGGCGACAGCTAGCATTATTTTTCTAACGAATTTCGCTCCGCATTAACTTTTAAGGTCATGATTACATATTTATAAAATTTTAACCGGAATTTACATATCTATTAAAAGTTTTATTTTCTTACTAGCGGTCGACCGCGATTCTGTCCACGCGGAAACAAAATTTAGTAAACTATGTGTTCTCTCAGTCTATGTTCTATATCTATGCCAAATTTCTGCGAGATCCAGCCGTTCTGGAGATACCTTCTAATAAACATTCATTCATCCATCCATCTAAACTTTCACATTTATAATATAATTGTTCCTTTATTCACATAAACATTTGTTTTGACATGACAATCCAAAGTGGCTCAATTTGTTTGTGTTAAAAGATGCTTTCATACGAGAAAGTCTTATATAGTTACAAACATAGCTATAAATCATTCAAGTTGTTTACTAGATAACCAACTTGTTTACTAATAGCAAGACAACCCTATGTTCACGTTAAACATTAAAACTCTGATTAATAAAAAAAGTATCAAGATATTTATTCCCAAGTTGTAAATATTGATCGAGTCGATCGATAGGAGTAAGACATAACTGCACTTTCATAAGAACATTGCTTTGGTAATTCAATCACGTATCGTTCGTATTACGAGATTTACTGTAATGCTTAAATTATTTATGAGACGTAGTAACGATTATTTAAAAACAGCAATGACTAATACTTTAGCAGTAAGATTACACCTCATGTGTTTTTTTTTAATATTTATAAACATTCATTACATTAAATGAGATTATTGAATAAAATCTGAAATAATTTAATAGTGGTAGAGCCCGCTTTAACATCTTCGCACGAATTGGCCCGGCTGGCCCGGTGATTAACCACGATCACACAGAAGACAGGCGTCAAGCGGAAGCAATTCCGCGTTCCGTCTGATGATTGTGCGTCCCGGAGGCCTAATTAAGTCCTCTTTCCCTTCCCACCCCTTTTTTATTTGGAAAGGATGGGAAGCGGAAGTAGACTTTTCGGATGAAAGGATGCATGGGAAGGGAAAATATTTTCTTTCTGTGCATCCTCTCCTCAGTCGATTAAAGTTAGGCAACGCATATGCAATTGCGTATGTCTATGGGCAATGGTCACTTCGCTATTTCAGCGATTTCAGGTGGCTGCTCGCACGTTTGCCACCTTATGATATAAAAAAAAAACTCTTGCACAAATGTCGAGGCACTTGCATATATTGTCCTTGATTAATAGATATCTAATAATTTGTTTTTGAACGTGTGTTTCGGCAGTGCAAACAAACAATCCGTCACAGAAATATAGGCGTAAATTAATTAATCATATTTCTGTAAATTCTCCGTTAAGTGTCCCCTTTCACGGGCCTCCTTCTTAACTTTAATTGAAAATATAACATTTCATATTTCTCCCCTTATTTTAGTCGACTTTAAAACGTTATCAATTTGCATTCTTTATGTGTGTTACCGCGTAATTATACTGATAATGAAAACTTCGCTATGTGATAGGAGTATGCTATTGTATAGGAGCAAATTTTATTTCTTTTCTTCCTCACTTGTAAGTAAAATTTAAGTTCTTACCTCCATTTTTATCATTGTTTACAGGTGACGGTAGCCGGGGCACAACTCCTAGCTGCGTCGTTCAGGAATCTGACTCACCTAGCAATCACTGGCGCGGCCAGTATGGACGCCAGAGCACTCGCGCCTATCGTCACGGACCTGGTCGATTTAAGGCATCTTGATCTTACGGGTAATATTATTGTGATATAACTTTTTAATGTATTATATTTTGTACAGCTTATATTTCATACTTACCTTAGTTGAAATTAAATTAAACTTTTGAAGTTTTTTTGACTTTGGCCTTGCAACACTGTAAAATCATACTATCATACTTCATACTTATATTACTTATATAATTTTAATGTTATAAATACAAATGTATGGATGGACGGATGGATGGTTGTTTTAGGTTGAAGATATCTCGAGAACGGCTAAACGTATCTCGATGAAATTTGGCATACATATAGAACATAGTTTGAAAGAATACAAAAGCTACTTATTATGTTTTTTTTTAATTCGAGTTGTGGTCGATAGCTAGTATAAAATAAGTTTAACAAAAAAAATTGTTTCCCATCTTCATTTAAGTTTGTGCACTATAATAAATTACATTCTAAGTAGATGTTGATGTGTTTATATAAGTTTTCATTTCTTAGAACTTTAGTCTTGTCTTTGAAGCTATTTTTCCTTTTATTCGCTAATTACTTCAGTTCTTTTCAATGACAATTGTTTGTTCCTAGAATTATGCTCATTAAATTTCTTTTCATTCACAATAATTTTTAATTTGAACAATTTAAATGTAATAAAGACACAACGAAGAATATTTTCCAACAATGTTTTAAAAGTATTCAAACATATCGCGGCGAATTCCGTAGCATTTAGCTAAGAAAAGGAAAATAAAATATTATTTTTACTACATCTATGCCAAATTTCAACGAGATCCTGCAGCCATTCTGGAGATACAAAGTAACAAATATCCATCCATTCATTGGCATTGCCAGAAAATTATGAATATTTTTAAAGTTTAGAAGAAACTAAAGTATTCTGTTTTTAACGGGATAACAGTATGAAATTATTAGATTAAAAAAAATACACAAACAAAATAAAATTATGACTCATGCATACATAGAAGCTAAAATGTATTATACTAGTACTAGACGTAAAGAAATATCTGCTAAGTCTTTGCCGTTCATAAATATTGAACGTTTCGTTTGCCAAATACGGCAACATTCGTGCAAATATTTGTTCCAACAATCGATAGGTTGAATCGTTTTAGATTAAATTGGTAAAGTCAATATATTAGTTGGGAAATAGCTTAGGTACTATTATTACTAAAACTAAAACAGTTAATAGTAAATTATTTAATAATAAACTGAACATAACTCAACAATAATAGAGAATAAATTTATTAAAATAAGAAACTGTCTACAATATTTCTTGACTAGCTATTGCACGCGATTGATCCCGCGTGGAATTAAAAAAAAACTTAATTAGCCTATGTGTTCTTCCACACTATGTTTTTTTTTAAACCTGTTCTACATCTGTGCCAAATTTCATCAAGATCAGTTGAGACGTTTTGAAGATATCTTCAAACAAACACCCATCTAAACTTTCTCATTTATAATATTAGTAATATAACTAAAACAAACTTTTTTAGTTACAACGTCCAAATTTTTTTGTCACATCCTTTATATAATATTACTTCGATTCTTATGAGTCATATTTTGTATACCCATTCTATAGTAATAGCATCTAACAGTAGCATTGTTGTTATTTCATATTGTATATCTTTATATAGGGTGTCCGAACGTCGACTGGCCAGAATGGGCGTGGCTGGAGAGCCGGCTAGCAACGCGGAGGCCTCCCGTGGAATACATAGATCTGACGGACTGCAGCAGCGTGAGTGATGCTGGTCTGTGCGCGTTGCTGCACACCTGCCCTTCCCTGCAGTATCTCTACCTTAGACGGTGTACTCTAGTCACAGGTAATACCAATTTTATCATAGTAGCGGTCAATTAAATTCGCTAAAATAGCGAAGTGAACCTTTGATAACACTTTTGGCATCATCATCATCATCATAATATCACCGTTAAGCTGCAATGTGTTGATTTCGACTTGTTGACATTTTGCCACATGACATACACGTCATAGTCTCGTATGTTCAATCTTTAAAATCGTCATATCACTGCCCGTGTTATTTCCTTAATCATGTAAAAACGGTCTCAAATTATAAACTTGTAAAATTTTAATTAATTCGATACTTAAATTACACTGAAGGAAAGTCTGCGTGTAAAAATTAAAAGGGCTGTTGCTTTACAAATAAATATGGTCAGGTAAAGTTCGCAGCGCCATAAATCATCAACTATAAAGTCCGGCGTCTGTTAATAAATCACAGTTATTATATTTGCATCTGTGCGAGCTTGGTCAGTCATTTTACCATTAAATATCAATATGAACCCGTCATTACGCCACATTACAGGCGTCGGCCGGTGATTGCCTTCGCTTAGTTTTGCAACGACTTTATTAGATTATCTTTGCAGCGAATCTTATGGGCCGAAGCCTTTGTGTTGCACGGTGGCCCGTCTTATAAGAATATTTATATAATAGCCTTAATCTTCTTTGCATTGCATGCGTCAACAGTCTTTCTTTAATGCATTGAGGAAATATTGTAGAGACTGTAAGACACATTATTTGTTTATTTTATTTGTTGAATACGTTTAATAAATCAGCTTAGTTTGAAATATTCCAGGAAAATGTATTTAATTTACATACATACTAACATACCTGACAGATACCAAACTACAAAGAAATCAATAATGTGTCATCTTTAAATTACAACCAATTCGGGTTTCCACTATCGAAATACACGTACAAAAAC